TAGTGGCCATCATATCGTCGACGGCTGCAGGCGTCCCACCTTCCACAATAGTTGCGAGAGGTAAGGGATATGTGGCGATTCTGTGGAGGGAAATAATTCTCATTGGGGTATACTTCTCTCCAAACAGATGCCTTGCCGAATTTGAGATATTCTTGAGCGATTTGGGGGCTCTTATTGGGCAAAACCTACCTCGCCCAGTACTTGTCATGGGAGACCTTAACGCTAAATCTACTGTCTGGGGTTCTCCTATGACTGATGCGCGTGGCGAGGCACTAGAGGACTGGGTGACTATAACGGGCCTAACAGTGCTGAATCAGGGATCGGTCTACACATGCGTGCGGAGACAGGAAGGATCTATCGTAGACGTCTCGTTTGCATCCCCTGCTACAGTAAGCCGCGTTCATGGCTGGAGAGTTTTGGAGAACGTGGAAACGTTGTCGGACCATCGTTACATTCGTTTCGATGTCTCCACTTCTCCAGAGACTCCGAGCGTCGGTCGTCCGGTCAGAAGGCATATCCCATCATTAACCAAAAGATGGGTATTGAGAAGTATGAGTAGAGATGCTGTCATTGAAGCCTCTATTGTCCAATCGTGGCTGTCCCCACCAAATGGGCCTGTAGAGGTTGAGACAGAGACAACTTGGTTTCAGGATGCTATGACACACATCTGTGACGCAAGCATGCCCCGCGCCAAACACCCACCTCCTAGGCGCCAGGTGTACTGGTGGTCTGTAGAGATAGCAGTTTTACGCACTAACTGTGTGAAAGCGAGGCGCCTGTACGCCAGATATCGCAGAAGACGGCTTCGTAACGATACTGTAGAAGAATAGCTATACGAAAAGTATAGAGAATGCCGGAAAATTCTGCAGCTGTCCATTCGCGAGGCTAAGACACGCTCAAGAGAGGAGCTCTTAGAGACCCTCAACCAAGATCCATGGGGACGTCCGTATAAGATGGTCAGGGGCAAACTTCGATCTTGGGCGCCTCCACTCACGGAGAGTCTCCAACCTCAATTTGTTAAGGATGTGGTGAACGTGCTATTTCCAGATCGGGCGCAGTGGTTACCACCAGCAATGGCCTCTGTACAGGAGATGGAAGAAGGACAGAATGAGGTGCCACGAGTGTCGCAGGAGGAACTTGGTGCGGCAGTCTTAAAACTCCGAGCAAAAAAAACAAGGCTCCAGGTCCCGACGGCATTCCTGGCCGCGCCTGGGTTTTAGCCCTCAAGGAACTAGGGGAACGATTCCGCAGGCTACTTGATGCCTGTCTGGAGATGGGACGGTTCCCACTACAGTGGAAAACGGGCAGGCTAGTCCTTCTGAAGAAGGATGGGCGCCCCGCCGACTCTCCCTCCGCCTACCGCCCTGTAGTATTGCTCGATGAAGCAGATAAGCTCTTCGAGCGAATAATAGCCCGTCGTCTTATCGGGCATCTCGAAGAGATGGGTCCCGATTTGTCAGACCAGCAGTTTGGCTTTCGAATGGGTCGGTCAACGATAGACGCTATTAAATGCGTCAAGGCCCATTCGGACGAGATTTTAGCAAGGGGGTGGGGTTTTATTGGCAGTGTCTATAGATATTGCCAACGCTTTCAACACCATGCCCTGGGAGTGCATCAGCGAGGCACTGAAGTACCACAAGGTGCCTCCCTATCTCAGACGAATAATCGGGAGCTATCTCTCTGAGCGATGTGTCTGCTATCCTGGGCGGGAAGGCAGGATATTAAGGAGAGTAATGTCGTGCGGCGTTCCACAAGGCTCGGTTTTAGGACCGCTTCTTTGGAACGTCGGTTATGACTGGGTGTTGCGGGGAGACCTTCCCCCGGGTGCTGGCATAATCTGCTATGCAGACGATACTCTGGTCACTGCCCGGGCGGAGACCTATGAGGTAGCCGTTCGTATTGCCACTACGTCAGTGGCACTGGTTGTTGGCAGAATTAGGATGTTGGGGCTGGAAGTGGCGTTAAGCAAGTACCAGGCCATCTGCTTTCAAAGGCCTCGAAAAGCACCGCCACAGGGATCCCACATCATTGTCAGTGATGTCCGTATTCAGGTTGGGTCCAATATGAGGTACCTTGGACTCATCCTGGATAGCCGTTGGAGCTTCCGCGAGCACTTTAGGTGCTTGGCCCCCCGGCTAATGAGAGCAACAGCTGCCTTAAAAAGGTTGCTACCCAACGTCGGAGGGCCCGATGCGAATTGCCGCCGTCTCTATTTGGGGGTGGTTCGGTCCATGGCTTTATATGGGGCCCCTATATGGGCTGGGGCTCTGACGGAAAGAACCATCGCCTTCCTGAGACGGCCCCAGAGGGCGATGGCCGTCGGAGTCGTGCGAGGATACCGGACGATCTCCTTTGAGGCGGCATGCGTTTTGGCGGCGTCCCCACCCTGGGATATAGAGGCGGAGTTCCTTGCGTCTATGTACGATTGGCGCTTGGAACTTCGACACCGAGGATGTCCCCCCTCTCCCAGAGAGTGGCAATTGCGAAAGCTCCACACTCGGCAACAGGTGCTTGAAAAGTGGAAGGAGCGTCTAGCCCACCCGAAGGCAGGAAGCAGAACTGTCGATGCTGTTCTTCCGGTCATGTTAGACTGGACAAACAGGCGACATGGGTCACTGACCTTCCGGCTGGTGCAGGTGCTTTCCGGGCATGGGTGCTTCGGTAAGTATATGTGCCGTATAGCCGGAAGAGAGCCGATAACTGAGTGCCATCACTGTGGTAGCGACGAGGACACGGCGCAGCATACCCTTGAGGTTTGCCCGGCTTGGGCTGACTTGCGTCGGGACCTCGTGGCTGTAGTGGGGGATGACCTCTCGCTCCCAGCTTTTATTAAAGCTATGGTTGGATGCGAGAGGGCGTGGAGTGCTGGGGTAACATTTTGCGAAAAAGTGATGTCACAAAAGGAAGTTGCGGAGAGGGAGAGGGAAAAGACGGCAACAATCCCAATCCGCAGCCGGAGAGCTGGGCGCCGGAGAAGAGCATATCAGGCTCTCTTCCACCCCCCGTAATTGAGGCTTAGGGGGCGGACACAGGGGGCTGTCCGTCACCTATTATGCAGGGCCTCGAGGTGGCGCGTACGGTGTGATGGTACGCCCCTCCAAGAAGAAGTCGTCGAGTCGGAGCCTGTAAGGGCTGTTGCCGTCGGGATTGCGGTAGTATGCGAAAGCGTTCCCGTAGCCCTGACAAAAGGTGATGAGATGTAAACAGTGGGGTTTTAGCCGGTAGGAGTCCGGCATAACCTGTCTGACGCCTACACGACAGACGGGTATCCATGAGGATTTCCCCACGTAAAAAAAAAAAAAGGTTAAAAAAGGTTAGGTTAGGTTAGGTTAGGTTAGGTTAGGTTAGGTTAGGTTAGGTTAGGTTAGGTTAGGTTAGGTTAGGTTTTTTTTTTTTTTTTTTTTTTTTTATATTGTATGCTTTGCTGCTTCCCTCTGACATGGGGGTCAGAGACATTGTCAGCTCGACACGGACTTTGAATTCTTATTTTTATTGTTTTTGTCCTTGATATTATAATGGGTGTAGAGGACTCCGGGTTTTCATTCGGGAGTCCTACTACTCTTACTCTAATGCATACAATGTTACACTTAATTTCAAAGTCTTTTCTTTTTACATCTTTTGTCACTTTAATCTCAATTTAATTGTTATTAATTTTAATCACATTTTATTCGGTGCATTCTCTCTGTCTATACGAGGTATAGGCACAAGGAAGCACCGATGTTATATCGCAAGGCTTTCTTACATCACTAATGAAAGTACCTAACATAATTATTAATTGTTTTATAGAATTAGTTCCAATTTAATATTTCCAATAATCTAATTTCTTTCAATACAGTGCTTATATTTAACCATTTATGTTTTGACCTTGATTCCTTTTTATGACTCTCTTAGCAATACCCTCACAATATCCTACAAATTTTTTCCTTGTATTTTTCTGCATCAACATTAGCCAAAGGTTGCCGATTTCCAGTTTAACACCAAATGCTGTTTCAAACTCCTGTCTCTCTTTACCATAAATGGGACACTTGAGAATTACATGCAGCACTGTTTCCTCAACTCCTGGTTCACAGATACATGATGAGTTCTCCTTACACTTGAATCGGTATAAGTATTCGGAGAATCCACCATGCCCGGTCATGACCTGTGTCATTGTAGGAGACAGTGCTGTTTCCCTAACCAACTTATATGCATTTATAGCATTTGGGAGAAAGACCTTTGTTACTTTACCCGTATCGCCTTCTATATATTTCTGATTCCACTTTTTTTAAGGTTTCCAGTCGGATAAGTCTTTTTACGAATGACACTGGACACTGGTCATATTCTGGTTTTCTTTTTATTTGCAACGCCGCTTGTTTCGCTAGCTCGTCGGCCCGTTCATTTCCCGTCAGACCCGCATGGGCTTTTATCCAGAACAATTGGATACTTTTTTGTTGCTGGAATATGGACTGTATATTTCTGCGAGTCTTTACTGCGAGGGGATGATTGGTGTCTTGGTTGACAATGGTCTCGAGTGCTGCTCTCGAGTCACTGTAAACCCCAAAACTTTTTTCGTTGCTACTGAGAATTCGCTCAGTTGCCCTTAATATGGCCAGTAGTTCCGCCTGGTAAACGGTGCAGTAGTTTGATAATTTGAGCTTTAGAGTTCTTGTCTCAGCTTCATTATTCCAGAAGGATAATGCTGCTCCAACCTTTCCCTCTATTTTGCTCCCATCAGTAAATATTCGGAGACTCTGGGTGTTATTGAGTCTCATTTCGCACTCGTTCTCCAGGCATATGAACTCCAGGTCCATATTATGGGATGCTGGGTGGGGCGATTCCGAGAAGCTCGCCTTCGTCTCCACCTCTCGGCCCCCTATCATTGACTGGAGTTTACCTCTCTTTGCCTCAAAAAGAAGGGCTGCTTCTTGGACCCTCAGGTCTAGAGGAAGCAAGCCTGCCAATGTTAGTGCCGAGTGCAAGGAGACAGTACGGTAAGCTTTACAAATTTTTTGAGCGAATCCTCATACATGGACTCTTCCCGCCTCTGTCAGCCGTTTCCATACTGGTGGGGAGACCTGGAGGACCACATGATTAGTGTGTGGGTTCCTTGTCTTTTTACGATAACGCACTGATAATTTCACTTCTTCGCTTTCCAAGGTTTCGATCAGGTTCTTATTTTGACACCTTATAGCAGCAATTATGTCATCATCGGTGTTAATCGTTAGTACGTCCCTCAATATGACAAGTGGATCTTTATTTTTTGCCTGTTCAACTGACAGCCCCGAATCACCGGCTTTGATTCGGTTTGCTACCTTGTCCATTTCTTCCCTGGTACTACAACCTACTATCACTTTTTGGTCTTTAGCTTTCCTCAATTTTTCTACCTTTAGCCCACTTTGTTTTGCATTAATAGCCACTCTAATCTTTTCGATAACATCGCCACTTGTATCATTTTCATTTCCTGATCTTACTATAACTGAGTGCATTTGAGCAGAAACTGTGTCCCTAAAGTGAGCTGCGTTTGGATCCAGAGGCTGCCCTCTATTCCGTTTTGCAACTACACTTGAATAGGTGATAAGTTCATCCCTATGACTTTTCACTTCTTCACTTATGCGTTGAGTCTCTATCCTGCACTCTGTGAGTAGTTTACTATGTTCTTCCATTTTCTTTAGTAGCTCGAACTCAATATCCTGTTTTCTTACCAATTTTGTTGTATCGTTTTCTATCGTATTTTCCTTTACTTCTTCAGCTCCCTTGGTCAATCTGTAAAGTTTTTCTGCAGCTTCTGCAATTTTATCTTTGATTTCAGTCTTCAAATTTCGTGAGCTATTTAGTAATAATTTTATTTTGACTACGTGTGCCTTAGCCTCTTGTGCTTTATTTAAATATTTAGTTGTTTCGATTTCCTCTTGATTTACATCACACTCTACGGCAGGAGAAATTTTCGATTTATGTTTGGTCGGCAAATCAGCTGTCTTGGTTTTTGGTGCAGCACCAAGACGCGATTCAAGCTCGCCTACACTTTTCCTTACGTGTGATGTTGTTCCCTTGTCTTTTCCCGCCGAGGTTTCTGATTTTTTGGTATCCGTATTTGGGTCCAGTTTAGAAGCTACAGAATTATTCTGCGGAGGAGTTTTAAACATTTTTAATTTATTTTTGAGGGCTTGTCAATTGAGTCAAAAAAATGGTCAGAATTTACTATGTGCACTATAAGACGTAAAAATTTCTCTATGTAGAGTTTAGCTCTATCTTCGTTTATTTATCAAGTCACACTTAAAATAATAATATAATAAAGTATGTTAAATAGTCTCTAAATTCTTTCAAAATTCCAAAATTTTTAAACTTTTATTTGCTCTACCTGGAGCCGTTTCTATTTCCAGTCTTATTCCATATATTATTCTATAAATGGTCAAAAAATTTATATGCGCCCAATAAGACGTAAAATTTTCTCTATGTAGAGTTTAACTCTACCTTCGTATTTTTATCAAGTCACACTTAAAATAAAATTTCTATTTGCTCTACCTAGAGCCGTTTTTATTTCTAGTCTTATTCTATATATCTTGCTATAAATGGTCAATAATTAATATCCGCCCAATAAGACGTAAAAATTTTCTATGTAGAGTTTAACTCTACCTTCGTATTTTTATCAAATCACACTTAAATATTAATTTAATAAATATGTTAATTAATTTCTAAATAATTTTAAAACTCCAAAAATATAAAATTTTTATTTGCTCTACCTAGAGCCGTTTTTATTTCTAGTCTTATTCTATATTTTATACATTAAACTACAAGAAATTTGTAACCTATTTTAATAATCTTATTTTAATAATCTTAGACTCTATGTACTCGTAGAGTCAGTCTCTATATCCAATCATTAATATCTGGTATATCAAAGTGAAAATAAAATAAAATCTAAAAAATCTTTTGATCTCTTAGACTCTACATAGAGTCAACTCTATTGCTATATTTAACTCTATGTGATCGTTACTCTTAGGCTTGTAACTTTTATTCTGATTTAGTCTTTATTTAATTAATCAGTATCTAATTTTTAAAATAAAATAAAATAAAATAAAATATTTTAACACTCTATGTAGAGTCGGTCTATGTATAGGCTGAAAGGTTTGTAGATATAATTAATTTAGCAAAAAACCCCGTTCGGATCAGTGCTATGGGTGATGAGTTACAACAGAATAAAATTTTTCATCCCCCAGAGACTAAGTCGATATGTCAACTTTGGGGTAGGGGGATGAAATTCAGCCCAAATGATCCGGTGGGGGCCGAAGACTATCCGGCTTCTGGATAGTGTGGGGGGGGTGACGGGGGGGGGCGAAGGAAAATTTTGTCAGAATTGAGCTAGGAGGCTCCGTTTTCCTGTAAACTGAAAACACAGTTATTGTGCGGTTTTCAGGACCTCCCAGCTCTTAGAATTAAATTTATATTTCAAAACATATGGGCTCAAAAATTCTGAAAAATTTATGGTATGTTAAGGATTAAATTTGCTTTCCGAAAATGTATTTAAAAAATTTACACAATGAAAAATTTTTGAGTTTTTTAATTTTGAAAATGAATTACCATAAACCAAGAACCGCAAAAAGCGTATAACTCAAAAAATAATATCTGAAAAATTTTGAAAAAATTTGATATGTTTACAGTATGTTATAGAAAATTTCTGTAATTTTTTCAGAATTTTCAGTAGTACTTTCAGCCTAACACGTGTTAACATATAAAACAAAATTTAATTTAAAAATAATAATTACGCTCTAAATACTTAAAATTTTTTATGTAGTTCTGTAGGCCTTGGGTTCTTTCTTCCTATGATGACTAAAAATATATATGTCCTCACTGAAAATCTTTAAATTTCTTCCTTTGAAAATTTCGGATGAAAAACTGTAACTTTAGAGCTCAATTGCACCTCTGTTTTTCATCCGATTTTAACGTTCAAGGTGTCATTCGTTTTGTCCCCTTATGTTCTTTTAAAAGGCGTCGTCAGATTTAGCCGTACAATCGTCGATCAGAAAACACGTGTCCACGTGGTTTTATTTTTCTGGCTATATTTCCACGAGTTAGTGTTGGAAAATCCAGCATATATTGCTGGAACTTGAGGCTTGCTAAGCCGCTTCTTTTGACACTTTAAAATCACTATGTCACTGATCTTGTTTTAGCAGCGTTTAATTTTAAAGTTTTAGAGGTTAGGAAATAACAGTTTTTCCGTAATAACTTTGTATTTTCCGCACTTTCCACTTTTCTTTTAACGTCACTGTATTCGTCTCGTCGAGACGCGTCGTTTGGTATATGACACTATACAATCGGATCACTTTGACCAAACACTTTGAATTTTTGATCGCGGAGCGGTTCAAAAACGCTGCGTACGGGACGGCTTTTAGAGCGCAACTCTCGGTTAGGTTAGGTTAGGTTAGGTTAGGTTAGGTTAGGTTAGGTTAGGTTAGGTTAGGTTAGGTTAGGTTAGGTTAGGTTAGGTTAGGTTAGGTTAGGTTAGGTTAGGTTAGGTTAGGTTAGGTTAGGTTAGGTTAGGTTAGGTTAGGTTAGGTTAGGTTAGGTTAGGTTAGGTTAGGTTAGGTTAGGTTAGGTTAGGTTAGGTTAGGTTAGGTTAGGTTAGGTTAGGTTAGGTTAGGTTAGGTTTAATAGCGTCTATCGTTGACCGACCCATTCGAAAGCCAAATTGCTGGTCTGACAAATCGGGACCCATCTCTTCGAGATGCCCGATAAGACGACGGGCTATTATTCGCTCGAAGAGCTTATCTGCTTCATCGAGCAATACTACAGGGCGGTAGGCGGAGGGAGAGTCGGCGGGGCGCCCATCCTTCTTCAGAAGGACTAGCCTGCCCGTTTTCCACTGTAATGGGAACCGTCCCATCTCCAGACAGGCATCAAGTAGCCTGCGGAATCGTTCCCCTAGTTCCTTGAGGGCTAAAACCCAGGCGCGGCCAGGAATGCCGTCGGGACCTGGAGCTTTGTTTTTTTTTTTTTTTTTTTTTGTCTATAGATATTGCCAACGCTTTCAACACCATGCCCTGGGAGTGCATCAGCGAGGCACTGAAGTACCACAAGGTGCCTCCCTATCTCAGACGAATAATCGGGAGCTATCTCTCTGAGCGATGTGTCTGCTATCCTGGGCGGGGAAGGCAGGATATTAAGGAGAGTAATGTCGTGCGGCGTTCCACAAGGCTCGGTTTTAGGACCGCTTCTTTGGAACGTCGGTTATGACTGGGTGTTGCGGGGAGACCTTCCCCCGGGTGCTGGCATAATCTGCTATGCAGACGATACTCTGGTCACTGCCCGGGCGGAGACCTATGAGGTAGCCGTTCGTATTGCCACTACGTCAGTGGCACTGGTTGTTGGCAGAATAAGGATGTTGGGGCTGGAAGTGGCGTTAAGCAAGTCCCAGGCTATCTGCTTTCACAGGCCTAGAAAAGCACCGCCACAGGGATCCCACATCATTGTCAGTGATGTCCGTATTCAGGTTGGGTCCAATATGAGGTACCTTGGACTCATCCTGGATAGCCGTTGGAGCTTCCGCGAGCACTTTAGGTGCTTGGCCCCCCGGCTAATGAGAGCAACAGCTGCCTTAAAAAGGTTGCTACCCAATGTCGGAGGGCCCGATGCGAATTGCCGCCGTCTCTATTTGGGGGTGGTTCGGTCCATGGCTTTATATGGGGCCCCTATATGGGCTGGGGCTCTGACGGAAAGAACCATCGCCTTCCTGAGAAGGCCCCAGAGGGCGATGGCCGTCGGAGTCGTGCGAGGATACCGGACGATCTCCTTTGAGGCGGCATGCGTTTTGGCGGCGTCCCCACCCTGGGTTATAGAGGCGGAGTTCCTTGCGTCTATGTACGATTGGCGCTTGGAACTTCGACACCGAGGATGTCCCCCCTCTCCCAGAGAGTGGCAATTGCGAAAGCTCCACACTCGGCAACTGGTGCTTGAAAAGTGGAAGGAGCGTCTAGCCCACCCGAAGGCAGGAAGCAGAACTGTCGATGCTGTTCTTCCGGTCATGTTA